TGTCCTTGTCGGTTTCGTTGGCAAGGACGACAGATCATGCCGGTGCTTCTTGGAAGATATCTTTGAAGGTCTTGTACATCCATTCTCGTTGTTTCTCGTCTAGTGCGACGTTGGTGACCGTGAAGTCAGAATCAATGAGGTGGGAGAGACCTTGAGATTTGAGCGTGTTGAGGAAGTTCTTCCTCCATTTGATGAAGACTGATTCATCGCGAAACTCTCTGAACTCCGAGCGGACGGGCTTGTTCTTCTTGTCCCAAAGTGCGATTGCACGCTCTCCATCGGTCATCGTGGCATCGCTGCGTCTCATTTGTTGCCATGGGACGATTTCGCCGTGTGGCTGGAAGAGTCCAACTCTGAAAGTGTCGAGCGCGGTGGCCGTCAGTGATACGATGCGGACGGGTGCTTTCTTCTTGAACGACCAATGGTGATACATCTGTATCGCCGCGAGCAGTAGCTTCTTCCTGGTGAGAGGTACTGGTCTTGGAGCGCCGTTGGTGTCGTTGGAAGCTTGGAGATCCATAACTTCATCTTTGGTGAGAAGTAGGAGATCCATCCATCCGTCGATTCCTTGTTCAGACAGTGCGATGCGCATGTGAGATGCATTGTACCTGTGGTGGAAGCGTCTTCGCCGCATAGTTGCATAGGACATGCTTGAGCCTGGCTGGTTCATCGGCCATCTTGATGGAGGTGTGGCAGTGCGTAACTGCGACTAGTTAATCTGCTAACGTGAGGAAATACTACTTGAATAGAGGGATCTTGTAGAGGTAGCTACCACCCAATGAGATCAGCTGCAACTATTCAAGACGAGTGCAAAATAAATGCAAAGTTCGCTTCTTAGTAATTCATAATCTGTGTTGTGAGCTTTGATTGATGCGATCAGTAAAGCTAGTTCGTAGCATGTTAGATCAATGCATCGTGGTAGTTGATCTTGATTCATACGGAAGTCAACGTGGTATCTGCGGGAAATGGTTCGTTGGCAGGATGCTTTACTCCTGTCGAATACTCCAGTTTACCGTGTCCTTTGGTTTCGTTGAGAACGTGTTCTTGCCAGCGTTCTCTGTTCCATCGTGTTGACTGATAAAGCATGATTCAATCTACTCACGGATACTCTGAGTCATGGGAGGAACTGTAACGCTTTCAATTTTGACCACCATGTCAAGTATCCCATAATGTCCTTGTGGAGCTACCATCTTATCTATCGGCTTGATGACACTTGTCATTTCAAGGTGGACGCTCCACAAGGCTGCGTTGTGTATCCATATGCAATTTACACCAAGACAAGGTACTCCAAGAACTTCGGGAGTATGAGAGACTGTCCAGACCAGATCATTCTTAGATCAGACGAGTGGAACATTTGTCCACATGTGAACTTGACCATTTACATGGACCAGTGGCTTAATCTGAATCCAAACGCAGTTCACCTTTTCACTGAGAATGACGATACGGAGAAAGGCCCAGCCAATTTGAGCCAACAGTACGGCAATAGACTCAAGCGAGTTTTTTGGGACCATACCGAATTCAAAGCCTTGGAGGATCAGGTCGGATCCAACAAGAAAGGAGTCGGCACTCATAGCATGAGGAAATTTGCATCAATGAAAGCCTCCAAGAAGGGAGCCAACACAAGTCAAGTGGAGTATCGTGGACGTTGGGTAGGAGACAAATCAGGCCGTGTTATGGCTCTACGTTATATTGACAAGACCAATAACTATGTCGATGCTTTCGTCGCCAGCCTGTTGTGTGATGGTGGTCCAATCAAGTATAAGGCTCACATGAATATTTCAGATCAGTTTCTTCATGAGCACGTTGTCAGCCACATCAAGAGGAGGACGGACGACCTCAGGTTGCTTCAAGTGCTTGGTCTAGCCAAACTTTGGGCTGCATTCGATGCTGAAGCTTCCACGCTCCTACCAGTTGATGAGCGCGAGTACATTATTACCATGTTCAAAACAGCGTATGGCAACAACACACAGGCCAATCCGGTCAAAAAAGTGCCACTGGAAACCTTCAATGTGGACGGCGAGCTTGACATCAGAGCCAGAGTTAACGAGAACAACAAAAATGGTGGTGCCCCGGCAACAACCAGAGCTGCGGCTACTGGTCCGCCGGCTACTGCAAGACACACACATGGAGGCACAGCCAACAATCAGGTGATTGCGTATTTGAAGGCCGTGGAACAGACCATATTAACGAATTTTCTACAACAACAAGCTCGCGAAGAGGCTCAGCGTGTTTGGCTCCAAGCCCAAGTCAACAAGCTGCTTGTTAACCAGAGGAGATTCGGCGCTACTTTTCCTCAAGCCTTCAGCCAACAGGATCCCATTCAGAATGCCGCCAGAAGGGCTCATGCTGACAGAGTTAACGAGCAGGATCAACAGGCCCAAGGGGAAATCATTGCGCATACCCATGAGCTGTTAACTGGCAACGATCCTACAGCGAGGCTCAGCAGTCGTCCACGCTCATTGAATGAGTTGTGACAGGACTGGACTCATGGAATTGGAGGCAACAAGCCAGCTGCTAACTTCACAATGGCTGAACGCAACAACAAAGTCGGAAACATCAAACAGAACTACTACAGGCGTCATGCTGTGTGGAGGGTACAAGACTATTTGATTACTCGCTGCAACTATACCCACCATGAAGCCAATGCGAAGATCCAAGCCTGCTACAACTCCACCCTTGTCAGCACCATCAACAAGGCCATCATCAAAGACAGTGGCAAAAGCACATACCCTGTCATCGGCACAACGCCACGAAAGAAGGACTTTCACATCAACCCCAGTCTTTACAACAGCGAGAACTAGTGAGAAACTGTGAGGTGCTCGCTGCATTGGTGGGGCTCTGCTGACTCCCTGGAACTTGGAAATTTCGAAGAGTTAGAGGCCCATAAGATGCCAAGATCAACAGAAGACCGACATGTAAGTGCTCTTCCTCCTTGTGTAGAGATGGTACTGGCCTTGCAGGATAACACTCACAGTCACTCGTTTTGACCTTTTCCTCTGAAGAAGATCATCAAGGTCTGGCCGTCACCGGTTAGTTTCTCGACAGCGGTCGTCTTTGAGTGTGCATCCGAACTGCGTCCGAACTAATGGATTCCATAGAGGGCGTGAAGATATTATTTCCAGCCGACTGGCGTGGAACGTCATGTGTAAATTTAATTTAAAAAATACTATGGAGCTAAAATTCTACTATGGGATCCCCCACCACCAACGGGGACTTCGCGACTTCTTGGGTGTTTGCTCAGATTTCCAGTACAGTGTACGAAAGAACAGCAGCAGCACACTCCCCGAACAGCTCCCCGAACCCATTCCCACTGCAACTTTTGTCCTTCTGTGTTCCATGGTTCCATGGTGGGTGGCCAGACGTCGACTCTTTGCTCCCCAATCTACTCCCACACACCCTCCAGACCTGAAAGCAAAGGATGAGCAGCTGTCAGCGTCTTTTGTGTTCGGATTAAGCCTTTTGTGCTTGAGTCATAAATCCAGCTCAGCTTCAGCTGGACCGAGTCTATAATGGTTTACTATAGTAAAGGATAAGCTACGAGAAGAAGTTATTCTTACAACACAGGCTCTCAGCCGCATCATTTGCTTTGTTATTAGAGCGAAGAAATATGAAAGCTTCAAATATGGGTATATTTTAACGTTCCTATTTTTACATACGTTTAGTGACCAAATCTTGCTGCGGCTGAGGTGGTCCAACAATCTTGGCTGTACTATCAAAAAAGGTACTGAATTGGATCAGAAAGATGCTGATAATGGAACAATAACAGAAACCGGTGAACCCAGGAAGAAGCTTTGTCCACGCCCTAACTCTGGAAACGCGTGCGTGGCAAGAGTTCTTGCTGATCAGGCCTCATTCAGCTAAGAATGGAAATCCCGAGGCCCTTTCTATTCTTTGCCACTGTCGACTCTAAGTCAAGTTTTGGTGTTGTAAGCGGATCTTGGTGTCCGCACACTTAGGCCACTGACAGCCAGCAACTTATTGTGGAAATGCTTTGGCAGATAGAGGGTGGCGTATGATCGTATGATCTAACACAGTCAGTCTTTCATCCTTGAATTGGTCAGAACCCAATAAGAAAACCCTTTCGTCTGATATTACCATTCTTATTGCCCTCCACTGACGAAGTGTCGAATGTCCATCCTACATCTATTGGACGCTCATTTTATACCAGTAACGCGAACTGGCTGTTTGATTCTGGATCGGCCTTGGTCTCATAGTGGTGTCCATTATTGTTGCTGCTCATCTTGAATATTACCTCATCTTTGGAGCAATTCTAGCTCCGAAACTAATTTAAAATGTGAGGGATCTAAAATAAAGAAATGTGAAGCAGCTGTTGTACCAGTACAGTCGGTACCGTACCCTCAGTTTCCTTCATATTGGGCTAGAAGCCAGGGTGCCAGGGTTGGCTAACCATATTAGTGGCCCTATGTCTGCAGTTCTAGCTATATTAGGAGTCCAAAATTTCGGCTCATCATGTCTTCAATGGAAGCCACAAGCTGAAGTAATGGATCATACCCGAAATTTGGACTCTTCACTTCTTCAACCAGATCTAGTTCGGTACAGGGCTGGCTGAAGCTTTCAGAATATCCCAGCACTAGCTACGGTAGAGTTGAGAAACCCTGTGTTACCACAGAGATCAACCCTACCATGCATCAAACTACAGTTCTGGCATTTTGAGGACTAATGTTTTCAAAATATCTACATCTGAAAGAATACTTCAGAATATCCCTGCACTGGAAAGTTTCACTACATTTGATTGAATGAAGAACAAAAATTTGATAGATAGATAAACCAAGTGGCTCGTGGCAGTCTACCGGTACATGTACCGGTACTACAGAGGTCCTTTGTAAAAAGGTACCACTACAGGTAAAAATGTTGCCTCAGAGATGGGGCAATAAATTATTTTTGAATTACCTACCACCACTGTCACACTGCCTCTGTGCCACCATCTCGATTTCCACCACGTTGTCTTCCTTCGTGTTCGGATGCGTTCAAAACACCGATTAGTACCAGACCTACGTGGTTCCTACTTGGCGGAGATTGCTGTCCTTCAATTTCTCTCCTCTTCTCTTGCTTCCTCGCCTCCCCAAAGCCCAGCAAGCACCATAATCTTTGGGAGGACCTTGCTCTGTTCCTTTGTGAAAGCCAAAACGAAGCGACTGTTCTCTGAGAAGAATTTCGTAGACAGAGAAGGTGTGAGACAAGCTCTCTCTTCTTCATCACAGCATTGATCTTTCTCCCATCCTTCTTCTTCTTGTTCTTCACACGCTAGCTAGCTAACCTTATCCGGTACCGTACCATGAATAACCTGACTAACTTTATGGCTGCCCAGGCCCCGATGTCGGGCATGATGGCTCCGGCTGCAGCGACCGCAGCTCTGGGGCAAGCGGGTGCCTTTGGCAATGGCGACCTTACGCATGGAGCTCCAGTTGGTTTTGCGGGTGTTGGAGCCGATGGCGGTGCTGCGGGGGGTCCAGGAGGCGTCTCTCCGGCGGATCTGGATCAGCTGCAGCAAGCGTATAACCGCACCGGTGACCGTGGAAGTCAGCACCATCCAATCGCCGAGTTCCTGTACCAACTCACCAAAATGCTGACGGACGATAACAGTGAGATTATCGAGTGGGTGGACGGTCGCATTAAGGTGCACTACCCAGAGCGTCTGGAAGCTGAAGTACTGCACAAGTACTTTCGTCACTCCAAGTTCGCCTCCTTTCAGAGACAACTGAACTACTTTGGCTTTCGTAAGATTGCCGGAAAGGGTAAAATGTCTCCCTGTTCCTATGTCAACGAGGCTGCGACGTCGGATATTCGCAGTCTGCTCCTCATCAAGCGAAAGACCAATGGATCCGCTGCTCGCAAGGCTGCCATGCAACAGCGGACCATGCAGTTACCTCCGGGTGGTAGCCTCGATCTCCGCGCCAACCTGAGCGCTCTGGCTGCTGGAGCTGCTGCTGCCACGGGACAACCCGGGGTGAATCGATTGGGCACTCAGGCATTTAATGCCGCAGCGCTCTTTGCCCAAGCTGGAAACCCTGCTGCTGCAGCGGCACAGCTACAAGTGGGACAATTCCAAGGTGCTGCTGCCTTGCAACAGAAAGCACTGGGAGGAAACATCTTTTTGAGCAATGAAAACGCCATGTCTCTTCTCATGGGAGGTGCTGGAGCTGGAGGACAAAAACAACCGTCGGCTGAAAACTTGTTGGGTCAAGCTCACCAACAGGCAACCGCAAACGCGGCTGCAGCCATGGGAGGTCTCACCAAGACACCCAGTACCCCCTCCATTGAGCAACTCCATGCGCAACTCGCAGCCAGTTTGGCCAACCGCCAGCAGAATGGGCTCAACTCGCAAATGAATGCTGCCGCTTTTGGACTGGGCGCTTTTGGTGGCGTGCCTGCTCCTGGGCCTGCATCTGCTGCTCTCGGTGGAGTGCCAGCTCCTGGACCTGGACCGGCGTCTGCTGCTCTTGGTGGAGTACCAGCTCCTGGACCTGCATCTGCAGCCCTCGCCGGAGGACCAGCCTCTGCAGCTTTGAATGCTACTGCTGCCCTGAACAGCCTCCAGCAGGGTGCTGGTGGACCAGCATCCGCGGCGTTGAACTCGGGAGGAGCGGCTTCCGCAGCTTTGAATGCTGCAAGTGGGGGACTCGGAGCTGGTCTCTTTGAAAGCGCCAGCAACCTGAAGGCTTTGGTGGGCGGTGATCAACAAGCTCGTGCAACCGCCCCTGCGCCAGGACAAGCTCAGTTGGGAGCGTCCACTGCTAGCCAGCAGTTGTTGAGTGGACGCCTTCCATCGTCTAGTGCTCTTTTCCCCGAGAACCTGAGCACCATGTCCTTTGGTAACCTCTTGGGTAGTTCCAACAGGTTGTCTTCCTTGCTCAGTCTGAACTCCTTCTTATCCCGCGATCCTTCCGTGGCTGATTTGGTTGGTGTCTTGCCTCAAGGACAGCTTGCTGCCAGTCAAGCAGCCGCAAACCAAGCGGCAGGAATCAACAACGCAGCTCAAAGGTTCCAGTAAATATTTTGTTTACACCACAGCACAAACTGAACACTCCTCTCCAAACACCCAAAGAAGACTTCCCGCTCCCCTCGTGTATAAATTGATGGCAGAAGAAACCGTGTACTGTACAGATCAATCTCTTATTCGGTTAGCTAGAGCTAATACTGATGATATAGAGAAAATTCTACATATACTGTATATTACCTGCATTACCAGCTAGATCCCTTGATAGCCTTGCAGCAAGCCTTGAGGGCTATCTGAGCAAGTTCAGTCCTCGGTGAGAATTGAAAACCCAAAATTGGATGAACCAGGCTTGGTTACTTGCGTTCCTCGTCATCACACCAAGCTCTCTCCCTCTGTCACCATCATACTAGTACCGTACATGTACGAGAACGTTCCTCTTGCTGGAAGAGCAATGCCTCTGCACCTCTTGCTTGACTCAGAGGAGAAAATTTGCTCCTTTCGGTGTCTAGTGGAAAGCCACTGGCCACCTCAGAGCCTTCAGAATGGGACTGACACATTATTAGACATCCTTCAGCAAAGTTCTTCGAGGGGTGCCGGTTGACCAGCTTCAGTGGCCTGATTTCTAGCTTGCTATGTAGAGGGTTCACCTTCACACCTAGCTAGCTTTTGAACCCCACTGCCCAGTACCAAACTCGAGGCTGTCCCTGCTGGGCATGCCTGTCAACTGGGACGGCATCATCCAAGTGTAACATCTGACCGTACAGTCGTACCAGGCCTGGGATCCATGCCAACACACGAGCAGCACGAGGATATCCACCTAGAGGAAGTTAGCAAGCCAACGACGCAAATCGAGGACTTGCCACTGTCTTGTGTCGTATATTGAATCATTCCATCCATTTTGTACAATATATACTAACATTGTTAAAATGCTATGTTCAAGTTGAGTTTGTGCAGAAAACTTTGAACCTTGAGGGCAAGCAGGACTAGTTGCGCCAACTCAAGGTTGCTTGTTCATTCCCTTCTTCGACAAGTAACCCCCTCCTTAGCCAAATCTGAGCATAGCCTGTGCTACCTTGCTCTAGCCCATTGTTTGAGATTCAGCCTGATCTTTCGTCGCTTCCAACTTCGCTCTGTAAGCAGTAGCGTTGGAAGGATCGACTTCAGGTTGTGGAAAGTCCACAAAGCTCATTCCTGGGACGGTTGGCATTCCGTCTTCTTCGTCTCCTTCCATCATCGTTGGAATCATAGCGAGATCTATGAGCGAGGAGTTCCTGCTTAGAAGAGACGGGAATGGCTCGTTGTAGGAGTCGGAAGATTCTTGAGCTGGCTGTGCCTCGGGCTGCGAGGGAGCTTTATCTGGATATGGTGACTCCGCCGCAAGAGAGTTCTGGTAGTTGTTTGCAAGCTGCGATAGACTGTCTTGAACGCCAGTCGGTATGAAGAAGGAGGTACCTTCTGTTGTCGCGGTAGCTGTTGCGGAAGACTCCACCCGAGCTACAGCCGCGGCGGCAGATGCTGTCGCACTGGAGTCGTACCCTATCGAGTGGCGGATCCCTCGTCCCACAGCTGCCTGCGCAATGGCCTGTTGTGAACTACCTGCTGGCGCCTTCAAGGGCTCATGTTTCATAACGGTGTTGGTGTATGAAACTGTTGCAACAGGGTTGGGAGGGGCGCTACTGACTTGGTGGACCATTCCTTGTGCTGTATTGGGGGGGATAGAACCGGCTTTGACAAATTGCTTGTCCCCTCCTGACTTTCGACCGTTCTTCTCTCTGGGATTGGTAGTTGGTTTGCGCTGAGAATACAAAAGGGGTCATGGAAGCGCGTAAGAGCCGCGTTCCTGTCATTCAGAACAACTCCCTTGCCACAAACATGCTTTGAACCACGAAGCACAAACTTACCTTTATCAGTAACAGACTGCCAATGTCGTGAGTAGCAGCTTCATTGACATAGGAACAAGGTGCCATCTTGCCTTTCCCCGCAAGTTTCCTGAAACCAAAGTAATTCAGTTGTCTCTGGAAGGAAGCAAACTTGGAATGGCGAAAGTACTTTTGTAGCACTGCGCTTTCCAGCTTGTGAGGGTTGTGAACTTCGATCCGGCCTGAACGAGGAAGAAAGAAACAGAAATTAAGTCCAGAACAGCATCAGATAACTGCTCGCAATACCGCACGGTATGCTGCTGCTCTACTGCACCTTACCATTCGACCACTCGATAATCTCATTGTGTCCTCCTGTCAGCATCTTGGTCAACTGATACAAGAACTCTGGAACTGTATTGTTTGCCGGTGCCGCTGGCACAGCAAGTCCCGCTGAAGGCAGAATCGGCAAGGGATTCTTTGAAACAATGAGTGTTGCTGGGAAACTAGAAGGCATTGCCGAGGTCAAGTTCGGTGTTGAGTTTTGTGACACGTTTGCAGCCATGCTTTCCGCAGTGAAGTACGGCTGGCCTGAGTGCTGATGCTGATTGTTGTTAGTGTTGTTGAAAGCGTCGTGATGAGTATGCTTGTTGACCGTTGTTAGTTCCCACTCGTTTGTGGCTACATCGCCGGCCCCAGGCAATCCCACGAAGCTACCACGCGAGGAACTGTTTGAGACCACTGTTGCTTCGCCATGATCATCACCCATTGTTCCTTCTCTAGTCCAAGCGAGTTGTTCAGTTGTTTGCTTCTGGGACTAGAGAGTTCCACAGTGGGTTGTTGACTAAGCAGCTTAAGGCGAGGCAAAGGTGGGATTCATCAGCTTAGCAAGTAATGGCTCTCCAGACAAGAACGCCAACAGGCGACGATCGCAACGTTTAGGCTGACCGATTAGACATATGCATCAGCAGCTGGTTGTGCATCAATCTGACAAATCATCGTAAGGATGAGCTGTCCGTAGCGACGAGAAGCAGTGATTCAGAGAAAAATTGTGAGCAAACAATGCCACCAGCACAGCATGTATGACGTACCACAGTCCTCATGACTAAGCTTAGGGTTAGGTTTGCATCAAAACAGCTATTTTTTTCAAAAGCTTTTCCAACAGAGACATCATTCAATTGGTCCCTTGAGTGACGTCGCCCAGCCGTGTGACGTGTGAATAGTCCCAATAAGCCGCTCGAGCTGAATATGAACATTACTGGTACGGTAACGGAGACCCGCAGGCGCGGTATTTCAACACGCTCGCCGAACGATCTGCTCAAAAAACGCAAGATTCGATTCGATTCGTCAAAGGGCTTGCCGTTTCACACAGAACTAGGAGCGTAGCATCAGCAACATTCCTAAAAGAGAGTGGCAACAATGGACAATGGACAATGGACAATGGACATGACGAAGACGACTACGCTGTGCTGCCTGGACCACCAATGAAGCGCAAGACGTTTCCGGTCATACAAGCTGTAGGAAATGACGTTTACAACACAAAAGAAAGGAAATTCCGTGACAACAGCTCGTTTGTCGGAAAACTTATCCTTGCGGACAACGTATTGTTCACCCGTCCGCCGCAAATGGGGAAAACCACGCTGCTTTCTTTAGCAGAATTAATGCTTAGCGACGAGCTTGGGCAAGATACGCCGGATGGACTCCTTTACTACCCGCCAGAATATGAGAAGAATAAATGGTATGTTATACCCCTCAGCTTTGGCGGTCTCGAGTAAAATTAATGAAGATTTTAGGGAATTGGCCGGGCCTGATGTTCATACTTTTGGTGCAGGGGAATTGGTAGGTTACCTGGCCGAAGCAATCAGAATGTTCGGTGAAAGAAGCGCGAAGCTCCTCTTTCTTGTTGATGAGTACGACAACCTATCCGCGAAACTTTGTTTGATTTTATACTAGTAGGTGAAAAGCACCCCAACATCAGGAAGGAAATGCAGCAAGCTTTCCAAGCCTACTGTAGTTTCTTCAGCAATTGCAAGAGTGCATCCGACGGAAGATGCAGCATCAAAGTCTGGGCAACAGGCATCACACCTGTCGGTCTTAAGCTCATTTCCAACTTCAACTATATCGACCTGACATTCGATGACGATTTTGCCGACGCTGTTGGCTTACTCGAAGCGGATGTAAAAGTGATGCTAAAGGAGGCCATCCCCAATGCTTCTTTCGACGATAGTGAGGAAGAAGCCGTGTTGGAAAAGGTGAAATTTCAGTTTAATAATCTTGGCTTTCCGGGAGGAAGTCCTCTCTATCACACTGGCATGATGAACCGGGCGTTACAACAGCTCCAGAAACGAGTCGAACGCGGCCAAGATACTGCCTGTGGCTGGCGTGAATGGGTCGAGAATTTGGACGAACAAGAAGTAGCCGAGGATCTGCCTTCAAGTGCCTTTCATGTAATCAAGAGGGCTGATGCATCAAAGCTCCGTGCTGTGGTGAACAGTTTGGTCGATCGGCAGGCGGTGACAGGATACAAAGTTCAAGAAACGTCAATTACAAAAATGCTTGAAGAGGGGCTCGATACTGCGCAATACCTCACCTTGCTGGTACACTTAGGAGCGGTATCCGTCACACGCGAGAAAGACGGAGAATACATTTTCAGGTCGACGAGCGAGCAATATCGCAAGAAACATGTCAGCGCATTGAACTATATTCTGGCTGAATCCATTCTTGACCTGCTGAACCTACCGTCAAAAGAAGAGATGTACAAGAACGGGGAGAAAATCCTTGCAAATTTTTTGAGCGCTCTTTCACAGCACCGTATGCAGATCTTGATTGACTGGGCATCTTCTGCAAAGGGCAATCGGATACTTGAGCTACAGTTTCAAGGAAAGATCCTCGAAGAACTCCACGCCGAATTCAGTACCATCAATTCTGCCCGAGCCACCCAAGAAGATAAGGTTGGTTCTGGCAGAAGCGACATTACTATTCATGGAATGGGAAAAATACGATGCTCAGTTACGAACTTATGTGGAGGAGCACGAACAGAAAAACAGTTCTCCGCTGGTGGTGGGATTTGTTCTGGTCATGAACGACAACGGCAACAAGTCCGCCGTTCGACAGTTATCGAATTATTAGAAGAAGTTACGACGACCCCCGAGCTTTAGCTCTCGGAATCCGGTTTGGATGATTCCTGCTTTGTCTGTTTCTCCTAGAGTCGAACTTGGATATGTCTCTGTGTCTCCTCTCCAGAATAGAAGAGGACGTAGTTACCGGTAGTGCCAGACAGGCCGAGGCGTAATCCAATGAATGCTTATGCTTAGTAAACATGTACCAGGGAGAAAAAGGAAGTAGCCATAGTCGTCCATTTTGTTGAATGATTCCATTCGATTTGGATTCTTCACAATTGTCAATGCTGCTCAGCCGTCTTACCTGGCATGAATTCTGAAAAGGGCCTCCCCAAAAGATCAGGTCCAAGAAAAGAAGTTTGCTATCTTACTTGCACGCTTGCCAAATTCTCTTGAATCAAAGTTCAATAGCGGTTATTTTGTACGTGCTGTGCTCTGCTAGATGTAGCATAGAGGCGACATCATGTATGTAAGCTGGCAAGTGCTGGTACGTGCATGATCAATGAGGATCTCGTTCCTAATGTTCACTTCCGGAAGCAAGAGTAGAGAAGGGTGCAAGTCCCTAAGCAATGGAAATCTCTACGCAGACACCGTGACACAATAATGATCCCCACATCATCCGCAGATCCGCAGCTCAACCGCCCAAATAAATCATGTTCACTGATTCACTGAAACACTTGCTTGCAAAAAGAGGATTATTTGGTTGATTGATTTATTTTTGGTGAAGGGCAGTCTTTTCAGTTCGGCTGTTTAGACTACAATGTCATGTAGCTAGTTCTTGAAGGAAACAACGAAAATGCATGTACAGTGTAAAGTATGTACTGTATAGTACAGTACTTGATGCCGGTACCGGTACCGCGCGCTACATGTACATTTACTAGTACACTACCGTATCCATGACATTGTATCCATGCATTATACAGGTATAAAGTCGGTTTTGGTCCATCGCTTTGAGACATCAGCGATACTATAGCAAAAACAGTACAATATCGGAAACCTTCTGTCTTACTCTCTATTTTCTGAGTTAACGGGACTCAATAATGGACCAAAATATTTAACTATCTCACAAAAAGTATAGCGAAAATGAAATACACGTTTAACATAGGGTATGTGATGTTAAATCATGTGGTCAGTATGGGAAACATGCTATGAGTCAATGGTACTTGAGGTCGATTTCGTATTAATCTACTTATTGGTCAATCGGACATTGAGACAGTCATTTGCTTATAGACGGTTTTGGTCCATTTTTGGGCTGTAGCGCTGGTACACTTTCTACGTGTCTCACCCACTTCCTTTATTAAACTCGTACCTCTAACCGGTAAAATCTCCACAGTTCACCCCTTTCCTGTCACACTTGTTGAAAAAGATTGTATAAGTATATACCACGGTAAACAGTAAGCATAGAAACTACCCCATAACACTCATACTACGGATTCGGGAAGAACTGTCCTTTTCCATGCTCCGAAGCTGATTTCCCACCCTCTCAAGCCGATTTCCGAGGTCCTCAAGCAAATTTCCCTTGAGCTTTACTTAAGAGACAGTGTCGACTCGGAGTGTACTTAAGGTTAGAGTTTAAGATCGCGAGATTTGATTCGAAGGCTCACGTAGAAACCTACACAACCAATGTACCGGGAAGGAAAATCTCCTTCAGAGGGTGGGAAATCCGCTTCGGGGCATGGGAAAGGACAGTTCTTCCCGAATCCGTAGTAATTTAAGACCACCATATTTCTTATTTTGGTTTCTTGGCTAAACCATCACTCTAAAATTTAGCTAAATTTGCCCCAAATTCTGTCATTAAGTTGCCCTGCTGCCCCTGGAAGCTTCATACATTCAGAGTCGTCAAGTGTGTATTTAAACAAAGTAGTTCAGGGTGCATGTATTCTACTCAGCAGAGAACTCATTTTTTAAAAGATATGTGTAAGTTCTTTCTCCACGATTTATTTAAAGCATTAAGTCGCTTCACCAAAAATCTTACTGCCCTTCTTTGAGAAAAAAAGAAAACAAGCACAGAAAAATGAGGCACCTTGCCAAACTTCCGCTTCGATTCTCGGATTCAAAGTGCTGCCAAGGATCTCAGTACCGGCGATGTCAACTAACTTTTGAAGGTAGACTACTACTAGCTAGTATGCGTGATGAGCTGCGTGATGTATCTTTGGGAGACAACAACCTGGAGCCTCTCACTGTGCATGTTTCTATGCTCTAGCTAGTACATATTCAACTGGGTTTCACAGACGTTCTCGCTCCTGCCGGCAACCTGAGTATGTTTCCCTTCGCTTTGAATTCTCTCATAAAAAGTGATCCTCGGAGCTTCCTCGGCAACCATTCCTCTGATTGCAGCAGCTTCAGATTTTCCCTAGCTACTAGGCAGTTGAAATTTTGTAACCATGATGCGGTCCTTCCTTTTGTTTTTGACGGCTCTGGTCCCTGCCACGGCGACGGAGACCTGCTTGTCCAATGAAGCCTTGAACGCAGAATTCATGTCTGGGGTCGAGGAGCCAACCTGTTGTCAGAACGATGTCTGCGCGATCCCCTGCCCTGAGCCTGTCTCGGATCCTGCTGTCGGTGAGTTTGCCGTCGTGTGTTCTTGTAATTACAACGTCTGCTTTGTCTCATGCATCCATCTGTTTGCTCTCTTCCCATTAAAAATTTTGTATGTACAGGCTTCAGTGTTGCCATTATCGCTGCCATCGCCGTCTCTTTCTTGATTGGTATGGCTACCCTCTTCCTTGTGCAAGGAAAAGCCGAGAACTTCTTCGTGGCCGGTCGTTCGTTGCCCTTGTGGATTGTGTCCATGACCTTGGGTGCTCAGTCCATTGATTCCAACGCGCTGTTGGGAAATGTGGATCTTTCCTACAAGTACCATTTTTGGGATGGCGCCGTTCTCCCCATTGGATTGGGTCTCTCTCTCATCCTGAATGGAGTTTTCTTGGCCGGCCACATTAACAAAGATTATCACGGAGTTTTGACCTTGCCTGATATTCTAGCCAAGCGATACGGCAAAGTGGTGGAAATTTTGGTTTCGCTGGCCACTATCATCTCCTTCATGATGTTGCTGGCAGGAAATCTTTACGGAATGGGAACCATTTTCAGCTACCTCTGGGGTGTGTCCACCGAAGCAGGAGTCTGGACGGCTTCCACCATCATTTGGGCATACACTGTCAGTGGAGGTTTGTTCTCGGTGGCCTACACAGATGTCTTCCAGGCCATTATCGGTTGGTCGGGATGTATCGCATGCGCCTACTACATGGTTGTCAATGAAGAAACGAAAGCCCCGCCCCCGTCCATTGGCTTTGCTGGGTACGTTTACCCTGACGGCTTTGGTGACGGTGGCGCTTGTGACATGTACGCAGGTGTTCCGTGTTTGAATGTGGAGGATGCGTGCTGCTACAACGTCGATAAGTGGTGCCCCAGTGCAGACAACTGCACGGCAGACAACGGAGCGTACCCATTTGGTGACCAGAGAGTCTTCCAGGGACAAATGACGGATCACTTGTCCTTGGCGCCCTTCCCCAATGCTATCATGTGGAATTGGGCAACTATCTTCATTCTCGGATTTGGTAACCTTGCCGCTCTTGATTTCCAGGCTAGGTGCATGGCTGCAAAGACTCCCAGGACCGCCCAACTTGGATGCATCATCGGAGGACTATTCACTTTCTTTGTTGGTGTACCTTTTGCTTACCTCGGTGCCATTACAAGGTAAATGTCGACTTGGTCTTGATCGATCGGAGGAGCTGTTTGGAAAAACTGATTGCTGATCTTGGTATCTTTTTGTTCATTTGACGTACAGAAACCATTACGGTCCTGATTCCGTCCATGCACAATTCGAAGCTGACACATGCAGCACCCTTTTGGGCCTTCCAACATGTGCCATGTGGGTCCCGGATTCTAATGCCTTTATCAAACTCTTGACTCATGAAGCGCCCTCCTTCCTCGGTGGCTGGTGTCTGTTTGGTATTGTGGCAGCATCCATGTCAACGGCGGATGGAGCTATTCTTGCAATGGGTACCGTCTTTTCCCATAACCTCATGAGGCAGTTGGATGGGTGGTACCCCAATTTGATCACCAACGATAACCTTCTGAACATGGCCCGTGGTGCTACCATTCCGTTGACCCTTTGTTCCACACTGATTGCAGCTTATTTTGACTCGGGTCACCCCGCCGGCTCCACCGGATACCTGCTTATTGTCGCATTCGATATCGTCCTTGCTACGGTCGTGGTTCCTCTCTTTGGTTGCTATTACACCAAAACACCTCGTCCCAACGCGGCACTCCTAGCGTGTGTTTCCGGTATTCTGACACGTGTGATTTTGGAGTTCACCTTGCCCAAGGATGGATTTCTTCTTTTGCCTTACAAAGATGACGAGTTCCTTGACTACGGATCGGCTGCCAGTTCCGCCCTTCCCGTGTTTTTCGACAACAGTACTGAAGTGCTTTGGGACCCAGAAGTCGAAATGTGCGACCAGCGACGATTCGAGGATTACACCGGAGTGGATTCTTTGGCTGCATTCCTTATGTCGTTTGTGGTGTTTGTGCTTGTCCAAACGGCTGAGCACTTCAACGGAGGCCCCTTGTTTATCCTTCCAGGAATGACTCCTTACATCAAGGACTTGGGTGAAGAGGAAGAAGAGGAGGGTGAAGTTGTTGAAGGTGAGGTCAATGAGAAGATGATCGACGGATCAAAGAAGGATATGTCGGAAAAGCTGTCGGATGAGATTTCCGAGGTTTCAGCCTAATAGGAGGATGCCTTTATTGGTGAGGGAAGCGGCTCGTTTCTTTTGTTTTCATGGATGACACCAATCTACATTTTTCATACATATCACACAAACAGTACTGAATGTTTCAATCAACCTGTTGTTGAAGGTTGGCTAGCTAAGCTTGTGGTCTATCCTCGTTTTGAATGGGACGAAACAAATGTCCGGGTACCTTGTATTTGCATTTTAATGATCTCTAGGATCTAATCAATTTTACTTTGATTCTCTCGGTCTTCGAGGATTTCTGTTTGGCTCGGCGGGCGCATGTGCCGTAGCATGGTGGTTCATCATGGTGAGTCTTCGCCAGAACCAGACCGTAGGAATGAATCATTCGAATCAACCTCCGTCTGTGTGCTGGCACTGTGCAAGCCAAGGTTCAGAAGAATGGAGACTGGCTAAACACATTACGAGTTTTGTCAAGTCCCAACGCAACCCCCACCTGCCGCCTGTCGGGGCCCAAGAAATCAGTGGCAGTCTGCCTCTGATCGTCTGTCAAGGATTGCAGTTTGATGTTTTCAAAGCCGTAGTCTCTACTGCCAACAATCATACTGGCTCTCCGAAGAAGCTGCTCCCACGGATGCGAATACGTCCAGGCAAAGACAGAGGAGGAATCCATCATTGCTGACACTTTGTGCTTGTCAGTCTCATCTTGACTCATTGGACGCCAAGCTCTGACTCGAAGACGCGAACGGCAGTCGTACTTTTCGATGATGTCCAAAGTCATGTCGCCCTCCTTAACGTGCATCAGCTTGGCCCAGTATTGTTTCTCGATCGTCAATCTATCAATTTCAAATTGTCGTTTTAGTTCCACTTTGTAAGCTCTCAATTGTGTTGCGTCCGCCCCCCTCATTTTTCGAAAGTCCGGTCTTGAGTGTATGCGGCATTGATCCATAGCTGAATGAAAGTCACTTTGTTGACGAGTGAATTCATAATAGTCATAGGGCACGAAAGAGAATGGCAAGTCTCTGTCATCCCGGATAGGCACCTCGTCTTGACACAGCACGACGTGAAGCTCTTGGTCTTCCTCATCCAGGTAACCATAGTAATAGTCTCTTTGAAAGGAATGTTTGTATTCTTTACCTGTAGTCAGGGAGAAGACGAGGCCAATTCCACCACAAATTTCGTGGAAACGCAAGTCCAAAAATCCTCCGCGAAGGCCAAGAAAGGTTGGGGATCCCCATCGACTCCACCCGTCCGCAAGCACTTGCGAGCCCTCCTCATCTCCAGAGTCGCCACTGTCGCTGTCGTCATTGACGTCACCCGGTCTGTGATCCTGCAGCAGTTTCTGTTTGAAGCGAGCCACTGACTCTCCCATTCCTCGAACGCGATCCACCGTCATATGATCCACGCGAAGCATCCGTTTCGTCAGCATGATACGGAATGCCGCATTTTCTGGATAATCCTTTCGTACTCCAAGGACAGGAGCAATGATACCTGCCTCCTCGCTTGTACCCAAAAATAGACCAACCTCGGTACGAATGGATCTCTGGATGACTTCGTCGTCGATGGCGAGCCTGAGCCGACACGACACGGCGCCCAACTGAAATAGATCTTTCACACTGAGCCAGCCATGGCTCAAGGAATCCAACGTAGCTTCCAAGAGTTCTTCTGTCGTCATTGTCTGAATGCAGTACTAGCTCGGACCGGGGTGTCGTGCCTTTGTTTTGTGAGGGAAAGAAGAAAGGTTGGATCTTTCAGTCGTGCTTTTAATTGAATCAAATCATTCTGTCAGCGCTCTCCTAAAAGCTAAGAGTACGTCAGCGCTGATTTGACTCAATGGACCCATTTCTTCGGCTGGGAACGGGAACTGGCACAGGAATGAAGAAACGCGCAAAAGCTGACGCAAATAAGATCAAGCCCAAGCCCACGAACAGAAAAGAAGTGATTGGGGCCATCATCGGCGACCGAGGATCTTCATGGAGAAGCAACCACAAAAGGTTGGAACCCACACTCTTGGAAGAGACGAGGAAGGCAGACGAAGACAAAGCTGCAGCCCTTGCATGATGGTATGCAAGTGATGATCTCAGAATTTTTGCTCTGTTTCGTTTTTGCGTTGCTCTCAAGCTCCGGCGTGGAATCCCTGACACTCAGGATGGGTAAGCTAAGGAAAATGTGATTCGATTCATTGTCTGAATGACTGCGTGTGGTGATGTTTCTGAAGCTTTCTTCTCCATGATTTCCGTTGCTCTTAGGTCTCCTCAAAGTGGGTACCCCCAAAACTTGGGGTGATTCAAAGAAGGATCTGAAATACATTCGCCAGGCAGGAGTACGACAATTCATTTCGACCTACAATCGAGTAAAGGATCTTAAGGGCGACGAACTGCTGTGGGGTGATGAAATCGAATATGGCGTCTTTCATTTGGACCCCGAAAGCAAGAAAATCAGATTGAGCCTCAGGGCCAAAGAAGTACGTTTGCTTCGTTAATTCAATCGTTAAGCATGGGTATCATCGTCATCTTGGATTCAATAATCTCATCTTTCTTTCTTTCTGCGTCATTCATTCAGATCATGGACGAATTAAATCGCAAGGAAGGCATACACTCGCAGATAGTGGAAGGTTGCAACTGGGTGCCCGAATATGGTGCTTGGATGGTGGAAGCAACACCCAATCGACCATACACTGGATATACTACCGATTTGCTTCGCGTGGAGAGAAACATGCGATTGCGCCGAAAACGCATCCTTACCGTATTGAAGGAAAACGAAATTTCCCCCACAGTCTCCAGCTTTCCTCTCTTGGGAGCCATGGGTGATGACGGGAGTGTCCCGCCTGTTCCCGTGGGAGGACCACGCACCGAAAGCGAATACATTGGAGATGGAATCATCAATCCCCATCCTAGATTCGGAACCTTAACGGCCAATATCCGTCAACGTCGAGGATCCAACGTCAATATTCGTGTCCCTCTCTTTCGAGATCGAAAGACACCTGAATATGCTGAATTTGAACCTCCTCCGGGAGATGTCGACGGATGCTGTGGAAGTGACTCACAACAGGTTAGTTCCGACAACACTGCCGCGTGGAAATTGATTGCTGTTGCAAAGGAGGATCTGATATATCAATTCGCGTCTCCATCTCCTTTATTCTTTTCACTGTTGCTCTCGACATGGTAGCTTTGGAGGTATGGAAAAGGCGACGCCTCTCAGGAAGCTTATGGGAGGGACAAACTAGTTGTGGGATGCTCCAAATCCTCCAAAGACGAAGAAACTGACGTCCGCAATGACATGGCAACATTGGAGAAGTGGCTTGTTGATGTCCAGTGCGAGGGTTGCAGAGGCTTGTTTTATCGAAGTGCTCCTGGCGTGATCGTTCCTGACGCTGACTGGCCCCGAAATGGAGATATTGTTGTTGGATACGAACTTGCCAATACACCAGGTACGATGTTTTTAAAGTATTGCTGCGATCACAGCCCGAACTTGGCAGAAACATGTGTATCCTGATGCTTTATGTACTGTGCATGTCCAGGCTGGATTCGACTGCAGAATGGATACTATTTGCCCATGCACAGTGATGACGCAAAGATCAAATTCCTTCACAAAGTTTCTTCACGCGCGCAACCTTCGAATACAGAAATGAAAAGGATTGGATCCAGCACTCCCTTGTTCAGAACACAAGCCGTAGCAAAGGATCAGGTCACTTCGCTTCTTGATGGCGGTGAGCTTCAGTTGGATGGCGTCGCGACAGCAGTGGCCGAACATCCGACAGCGCCAACACCCATTGCAGAACCAGATGGAAACAAAGAAACTGTAAGAGCGGCAATTCACATGGATGCCATGGCGTTTGGTATGGGATGTTGTTGCTTGCAGATCACTTTCCAGGCGAAGGATGTCGAGGAGAGTCGTTTCATTTATGATCAGCTGGCTGTGTTGGCTCCCATCATGATGGCTTTGACGGCTTCCACCCCATTGCTGAAGGGTCGCATTGCGGACACCGACTGTCGTTGGGGTATTATTTCTGAAAGCGTCGATGACAGGACGCCTGCAGAACGTGGACGCGATGATCCAAACGCACCGTACGAGTGTCTGAACGAGGATGGAACGCGTCGAATCTACAAGAGCCGATACGACAGTATCAGCACCTACATTTATCAAGGGGCTCTTTACCTCGAAGATGAATACAAGAAGAAGAGCGGGCTTGCGAACAGAGTTTTGAACATCTACAACGACATTCCAGTGCCCATTGACGAGAAAAGCTACCAGCAACTTCGTGAGGCGGGCATTGATCCCGCTCTGGCACAGCATGTTGCTCATCTCTTTATTCGTGACCCATTGGTCGTGTTTAGTGGCGCCGTCGAAGAAGTGAACGATGACTTGCAGACTGAGCACTTTGAAAGTATCCAGAGCACCAATTGGTAAGTTCCAAGGTACCTCTGGGTCTTCTTGTGGTATCTGCTTGTTTGATGTGGCTGACGAGAGCCCACTTTTTCTGCAGGCAATCCGTACGATGGAAGCCTCCTCCTCCTCGAAACAGTCCAAACGACCCTCACATTGGTTGGCGCACCGAGTTCCGCAGTATGGAGATCCAGCTCACGGACTTTGAGAACTCCGCTTTCACAGTTTTCATTGTGCTTTTGACTCGTGTCATTTTGACATTCGATCTCAACTTTTATATTCCCATGAGTAGAGTTGATGCCAACATGCAACGGGCTCACAGCAGAAATGCAGCGGCAAAGGGCAAGTTCTTCTTTCGCCGCCATCTTGCTCCACTGGAGGAGGGTGACGACGGATACGGCGTCAAGTACGCGTCGATGTTTTCCAGGGCCGTGAACGGTGAAAACGGCTTGAATGGTTCTTCCTCGCACACAAACCAAGAAGTTGCCGAGGATGGCGTCAGTCTTAAGCGCCGACAGGCACCTTGTGCCCCGGGAAGCGAAGAGGAGAATGCCTTTGAGGAAATGACGATTGCCGAGATCATGAGAGGCAAGGGCGACTACTACCCCGGACTCATTCCCCTCGTGCTGGCATACCTTGACCACATCAACTGCGATTCGGTTACGTTGGAACGCCTTACAAAGTATCTTCACTTCATCGAGCAGAGAGCAACCGGAGAGTTGGTGACACCCGCCACTTGGATGAGAAACTATGTGAGGAATCATCCAGCCTACAAAGGCGACTCTGTTGTCAGCGACGAGATTGCGTAAGTTGCTTACATGTCATGTGCTTCTCGGCTGATACATGTAGTTTGGCCTTGGTTGCTAATTTTGCTTGTTCTCCCCTCGTCTGGAATGGAATAGGTACGATCTCATGACGGCTTGCAAGGACATTGGCGAGGGCAAGTTGCATGTGCCCGAGTTGCTTGGAGACATCAAGATCGAGCCCATCAGCAAGGAAGGAGCATACGATGTCAAGTTGGACTCCAATCGGGTGCAGAACGACCGCATTCTTCAGCTCCTGCAGCGCTACACCAACCGCAAATCATTCTCTGCCAAAGGCTAGCTCATATCCGGGGCCTTTCTAGTTGATTTTCTGAACATGTTGATAGATACAAATTCCGAATTGCGTGCACAAGGCTTGGTGTCCAATAAATAAATAAAGTAAGGGCAAATGCAGCCAAACTTTTGCTTGACGTATTTCCCACTAAAGCTTAGCTAGTTCCGAAGTAGCATGCTAGTATTTGTTAATTTTCTGAGTTGTCGGCAGGAGTGGTTTGCGTTTTCGTTTCTTCTCGGGTGCGGAGTACATTACAGTCGCGACCACAACCAGTGTTGCCCCCACTACAAACCTGAAGGATGGCCGAAAGTCAAAGAGGACGGCCGTGATGATGCATGATACGACGATACTAAAACTCGTCGCGAATACTTTCAAAACGTTGTCGGCATATTTGACGACCACGGCAACAATCAAGCCACCAGCGGCTTGCACGGTCACGACGGTCCACACAATGGGAGAATATCCTCCCAAAAAGCCATGTTCCGCAATGGCTTTGGCGTCCTTGGCATAGACAGTGATGAGCGCAATAAGGATGGATGGCAATCCCATTTGTACGTTTCGTAGCCACAGAGAAGTGGTGCTTCCTTTGAGGATTTTCTCAAAATAGACACCCGAAAACCCTGATGTACACTGTGTTGCAATTGTTGTCGTTTTGATTTTCGTCGTGATACCGATTTATTGGATTCATTCGTCGTCATGTATTTGTTGGGCCCAGGAGTATATGTTAAAGACAAAAAGGCAGTGTTTACTCAAAAAGCAGCCAAAGTAACTTACAGCAGCACAAAGAACAGCTACCAAGCCAATGAATCGATTGTGTTGTGCCTTTTCGGCGTCATCCTCTTTGTGATGATCCCCCGATCCCGAAATTTGCACAATGGCAACCCCAATAGTGAGGATCACCAATGAAATCCATTTTCGCGCAGAAAAGGTTCTCTAGTGGTGAACAGAAACAGAAACGGGGGTAGGAGAATGTTGAGTATCCAGCAGGGTCTCGTCATGTCAATTTTTGCGGAACCATTTTCGTTTCTCTTTCTTACCTGCAGCAAGACAGCACTAAATAACGCCGTAGTCAGGATTTTCAGCTGATAACAAACTTGGTAGGTCGCCGCATCGAGATTGGTCAGTGCGAAATAGAGCAGATTGTTTTGTACACAGTAAAGCAGCGAGGGGACACAGAGCTTGGCAACCTCCATGGGTGATTCAATGACATGTCGATTAAGTTCTCCAATCAAATCTCCACCAGATTGGTAGGCGATGACGACGCAGCAAATCAAGAATTTCATCATTTCCATGATAAAGACAGCCGTCGATGCCAGATAGAGGGGCTGCCCTGGTTCTCGCGGCAGCGTTCGAGAATATCGCATCAGCAAGACCAATCCAACCATCTGAGCTACCAAGAGCAGAAGAGCGGCATACTTGATAGCTTTGGATGTGCTGTCATCGTCCTCTTTATTGCTGCTGCTCTTACTACTGGCCTTCTTCTTCTTGGTAGCCGATGCTGTCTTGCCAGGAGTCCGCTTGGAACGAAGCTTCGCGGCACTCTTGTCTCCGCCCGTATTGGAAGGAATCAGTTGCTCTTCTTCGCCTCCTGCAGGGCTGCTCACTTCCACGTCTTGCAAGTCGGCTCCTTCTTCTTGGTCGCTCATCTTGTTTTGATCAATTATATTGGCTATGGGTAGGGGAAAAGTATCACAGCAACTTCTTCGTCCCGATCATGTATGTGCTCGAAGTGGCACTGCAACCCGCAACCCGCCGGATACAAACAAAAGATTTTCGTCTTCGATTCGAGGCACAATGACCTTTCAAGCACGAATCACGACGACCCGAAAGAAAAAGGAACGGCCAAGAAAAAGCATTTGCTCCCCCTTGCTCCTTGCTACCGATATGAGCTGTGGCAGCCGTATACATGTAATGCGAGAGGTACCTACCGGTGCCGGTATGTCGTGCTGCCCAACTGTTCCTTCCACTAGCTAGCAACCAGCTATTGTGCGGATGGAAGCTTTCTAAAGAAAGACCAATGCCACGGTACCACCGGTACGCCGTCTTTCTTTCTACATATTATGGTAGCGTCGGTAAAAACAACGATGCACCAGTTTTCAAGAACTCTGTTGGCTACATGTACTAGTAAAAGGGAAGGCGATACATCGTAGAACCTACTAATTTCATTTTCGTTTTTTTAAGTCTGGCGCTATTATGATTTTATTAAAGATGCTAGCGTTAACATTCATACACATTCTTCTGCGACAACGGGCGCTCCTCGATCAGGTACGGTAGCCATCCCGCATTCCATCTACCATTCATTATTCCATTCGTCTTCGTCTTCGTCTTCGTCTTCGTCGCTGTCCGAATGATCACAGTCGGACTCGTTGAACTCTTCCTCGCCGTCAAAGACGGCTGCGAGGCAGTCGAGCGTGGACTGTGGGATGCACATTTCATCCTCCCACTCGGGATCATCGTACAGAACCGAGACATCATCATCTTCATACGATACAACCTTGACACTCTTTGGAAGCGCCATATTAATGGCCTTGAAGTTGTCCAGAGCAGCCGTCGGATAGTGTACCTTGGAGGCAAAACCGTTGCTCTTGGGCTCAATGATGATCGAGGATACCACAACCTTGTCAGTCTCCTCCTCCTCCTCCTCCTCCTTTTCCTCCAGAATCGATTCCAGAATGCCATCGTGCTTCGATTCTTCTTCTTCCTTGTCCTCCTCCTCCTCGAGCACCTCCGTAATGACGTACAGAGTCTCTTCCTTTGTGTAGAATGGAACATCCACTTCAGCGCCACCACTCAGTACCTCTTCGACTGCTTTCAGTGCCGACTCGGAGCAGGCGGCATCATCCTCGTCGTCCGACAAAACATCTTCTTCCGAGGAAAAGGAGTCTTCCGACACGACCACCTCGGGGAGACTCTTGGTCGTCCATGGCTGTGGAGGAGCGGTGAACAAGACGGAACCAAATGGATTCGAGGTCGTGTTGTTGATCCCCGCGGTCAGGTTCCAACCATCATCATCAGCATGAGACAAAACAGGCTTGGCAGCATCGATAAAGGTGGCCGACTTCATCATGGTCAAAATAAATGCAATGTGATAGATAGCAGCAATAGATAGACAACGATGAACTTGCTTTGTCCGAATTATGAGCTTTGTTCCTTCCACGTTGCAATGGTCAATGCATTGCACACCTCAACGCAACCATCATTCTGTCGTTTCTCTCCGTGATGGATATCAATAAGTCATCCAGCGAAATCCCTCATTCGTTGTGCTGTTGAGGTCCATCGTCGATCTGTTCCAAAGAGCCAACATCAAACATCAAAAACCATCAAACGAGAAACGCACCGATTGAGGAACTGTGACCGGATCGATTGAATTCGATTCTCGATTCGACTTTATTTGACTCATTCGATTTAACTCGAATCGATTGAACAATTTCAAGAATTCGAGGACGGTCGAAAGAAAGTTGAACTTCGATTGAGCCAATCGATTGGGTGCACCGTGGCGCTGCTGGAGTTTCCACTGATGACACCAACCCGCCGCGAGGACACTTCATCCCCAATGTTTTGGCCATGGTTGACAAGCGTTGACGCATACTAGTACTGTAGTAGAGTTCCAATTCTCAAAGTGAGAACAGCAATAAGCCATACTACGACTTTAGAGTTAGTTTGGTGGCCCTAGTCTAGTCGACAACTATCGTAGCCAATACCATGGCCGGAAGCAAAGGCGTGAATCCGCAAGAAGCGACCATTCCGGAAGAGCAAGAAGATGATTCGTCGTCACAGGAGACTCCGAGTAACAAAGAGAATAGTGGTAGTGAACAAAAGACAGCCTCGTCTTCGTCAACGTCTCTCGCGCGAAACACAAAGAAGAAGAAGAACAAACCGAGACAACAAGTGAATAATATGGCTTCGACAATCACTGCGAGTAGTACTAGTAGTAGTAGTCCATCGAAAGCAAAGAAGAAGCAAAAGAGACGCAAGAAGAGGAATCGAGTGGCTTTTTTTGCGAGTGTGAAAGAGGAAGAAAGCACTAACGATGCCGTCACGAAGCCACCTTCCATTCCCCTTCCTCTCACCCACTACCAAACAACACTTATCCGGAGAGCCATTCGAAAGCAGGACTCTGGCAAAGCGTCACCCAAAGCTCAGTCGACGACAGTCAAAGAGGAAGAGGATGTCAACGACGATGGTGGTGAAGTGTATGGCGATGTCTCGCTCGGGATGAAACTGACGTTTGTTGGAGGAAGAGTGATTGTCCAGCACCTGAATCCCTTGACTGATGGCAGAGCATCCCCTGCACAATTGGCGGGGGTCGTTCAACGAGGGGACATACTTCTCGCTATTGACAATATGAGTCTCGTCAATCTGCCCTTTAACCTCCTCATGGAACGCCTTCAGCCATTGAGCAACCCTGATTCGTCGGGAGTCTACAAGAGAGTCATACATCTACGGATGGCTGCTGAAGGGCTCGAAAAACTTGAAAAGTTTGAAGCGGCCGAAGCGAGAAAGTCCTTTGCCACGGAGGAAAGTGCTGCTGAACTTTTCTCCTTGTTCCCAATGGTAGACCACATGAGTAACATATCACTCGTCGACAATCCTCAAATGCGAACAACAAGGAACCGTCCTCCGCAAATCCAAGAAGAAAAGAAACAAGAGACGACGAGTCCCTCGCCAACCAGTAATTTATCATCACCCACCAAATCTCTTCTCTCACCCACCAACCAGTCGGATGTCCCCGCCGAATCGGAGCCACCAGAGGCTAGTGGTCAGCAAGAAGTAGCAGCAGCAAATCAAGTTGAAAAATCAATGGATGATATCATATCGGATCAAGTTGCTCAATGGCGATCATTGGAACGAAAAGCCTTTACCAGCCAATACTTTGCGTGGAACGACAACTTCTCAGAGCTCCTACGACCGCGTAGATCACAAACAGCAGGACAAAACAACAACAACTCGGTGCCGGTAGATGTCACGGAACAATCCAGATCGAAATCGGAAATGTTGGAATTGGGACGAAGAGCCATTGTCGGAGCCGATAATTTGTATCGACGCATGGAAGAATTGGACAGAGGAAAAGACTTGCGATCCTTCCGATGCTGGAATTCGTCCATCAGTCTTCGAAGTAGAGCCAGCACTCGCCGAAGATACGTCTTGGACGCGGTATCGTTGCCTGTGACACTCAACAATATGAAAAACAGTTCGCGGCAGCAAACAGGTGGTGGTGGGAGCTATGTTTCGTCCGATGCCAATAGTGAAGCAAGTGATATGGATGACGTGGATGGTGATGAACTACTTCTTCGACTGGCAGCACACGATGAGATTTGGCGGCGCCAGGTCTTGGAATCCCTCGAGGCTGCTAGGGAAAAGCTAGAAAACGGCGAATCAGATAGCTCAGATGAGGAGGAAGATCAAGAAAAAGAAGATCAGGTGGCTCGTAGTGGCAGCATGGACGACGCCATCACCCAGGGGTTGGGGGCGTTTCTATTTGGTGAGACTATGGCCAAAATTATTACCAAAAAGAAAAAGAGTAAGGCGCTTCCGCCAGCTGAGATTTCTGCGGTTCTATTTGATTTGTCCACCAACCTCGCATCGACCATGCCCGACGAAGTTGCCATTGGGGATGGCACCGCCTCTGGCCTGTTAAAGTCAAGCTTGGTGCCTTTCCTTGGGAGAACACGGCCTGAGGCGGGAAGCTCCGTCATCTTGGCCACTCGGTTCGTTTTGGACGAGGCTCTTGAGATTTGGCTGAAAACATTTCGGCCGTTGCCGTGGGAGTCACGTCGCGTTCTTTGGCCTTACGCAAAGCGCTCACCGACTGCAGGTGAAACTCTCAGCCGGAGCATGCTCTCCGATATGGACAGCCTCAGCGATGCGTCTCCCAAGACTGCCTTCACGGTTGGTTCTACCAATGGCACCCGATCAGGAGACTTGAGACAACAAATTGAAGACCAAGAACTGGATGTTGAGACCCGAGCAGAAACGTAAGCACATGTGTGAGACGTTGCCCCCATCTTGTGCACTGCTTTGGTCGTTCTCACACTGTTTCTTCAACATCTTCCAGTTGCTTCCTCGTCACCTACTACTTTACCCAGCGGCTTTTACCAAAAGTCGCTTCCAGCCGCAACGATGATAGTATCGTTGACACTTCTGAACTAATTGAGTTCATCGAGACATATGGAGCTTACGTGAAGTTGCACACTTGTCTGGCATACTCGGCTGCGTTGGAATTCCCTGATGTCATTGAGAAGTTGCTCGAGCTTGCGGGTCATGATCTGCGACACAAGGAAATCACCAAGCTCTTCACGAGGCGCAACGCGCTGATTCTGTATGAGCCCGTAAGTTTGTGCTATTGTTGCGGAGAAATCCCTGCGTCCTCTCGCTCTCTGATATTGCCGGTGCTTTCCTTTGTCCTTGTCAGACCATGCTTTCTGCCGTCGTACAGTGTCTCCCGCGAATCAGGGAAGAGCCTAGCGCAGATCGTCGCCAGGTTCTAGTCGATATTTGCGTTTCGGCATACCCTGATTTGTGCCCTTGGCAAGTGAAACAGGCTTTGCTAGAAGAGTCCCCTGTCCCGGCTGGGACAAACAAGGCTTCGGAGGCGGACATGAAAGACTTGTATTATTACTATCTGTCCAACTTGCTTCATCCTCACGATGGACACGACGGTGCAAGAAAGGACGCTGCGTTGGTAGAGGTAAGCTCAAGACTATATTCCGGTTCAATTGGGTTGCCGCATTGTGTACCTGATTGTTGCGTTTCTGCTTTGGCTGCTATAGGAGTGGTGTTTGCTGTCACTCGATGACAGTGGTTCTAGAAACAAAGCCGACATCAAGTCACGAAGGAAGAATTTCTTCAGCGTTGCATCACGGAATTCAAGTGATCATCTTGGATATAGACGTGACCTCGTCATGCTGATCAAATTGAGCATGAAGAGCCAAGAGCACGAGCTTGCATTGGACCTTGGTAAGTTGTTTGTTTGGGTGTTTGTTTGTCGCTTCTGAACATTACCTGATTTGCCCCGCTTTGTACCTTTCTCCAGCTGGCGAGATTGTGGAACGCCCCGCTCTTTCGCGTGACAGCTCGGTTCTGTTACTAGTCCTCGAATTCATGAGAGATATCACACAGAGAGCGCTGGAAAAGGGCGGGCAGGACATGCTGCTTACCCTGAAGAGGGCCACCCGACTCCTGCGCCAAATGTCGCTAGCCGCTGAACCATTAGAAGAGCAAGTGATCAGTGTTCCTGATGAGTTGCGCATGATGTTGGAGTACAAGGAAGGAGCATGCAAAGCGAGCAAGTCAGAAGTGTTGGACCTGGTGGTATTCCTATCAGACGAATCCGTACCAGGTGATTTCCTAGAGGCATTCGCCGAGTGGAGCCGTACCCACGACCTTTGCTCTGACACCTTGCAAATCCTCCAGCGTGTGCTGAGGCGTGGGACACGGAGTGCGTTGAATACAGAGCTATCGGGGTCTCTGCTCCGTCTACGAAGAGCCCGACGAAAAATGGAGACGCCCACTGATACATATGGAACGAGCACCTTGATGCCAGAACCCACAACTTGGAGCCTAATGGGCAAAGGGCTCGTCGCTATTGACAAATAGATTAATGATGTTGTAATAGTTGTTGATTTTGATGATTCCTGCACCTCGCAACCAAATCTGATTGTTGCATTGTGTCACAAAGGCTACTCGCCCGGTGGAGTTGACGCCGGGATCAATAGCTCCACATTCCAGAATAAAATTATATGGAACACTGTTAATAAACTTAGAAGCTATGGCAACATTCATTTTGCTCCTTAGGCTGGCTGAGAATTTTGCAGAGAAGCGGTACAAAATACTGTCCGCTCATAAGACTTTATGAAAAGAGGTTCACTCGTTCACTCCGTGAAAGTACCAATTTAAAGGGTGGGTGTTTCGACTCCTTGCTTCTTGTATTGATCGTACACAATTTGGACATCGCGCTTTCCACCCATGATGATGGGGCACTTTGCATGGATTTCATCGGGTACAAGGTCCAAAACTCTCTGAATCTTGCCCTCAAACATACCAGTGGAAGCAATTCCCCCAGCCTGTTCAATAATCATGGCCATGGGAATACCTTCATAGAGAAGACGAAGCTTTCCCTTTGGAGATTTCACGTCGGCTGGGTACAGGTAGATTCCCCCATAAAGGATGGTACGGTGAATGTCAGCCACCATCGATCCGACGTATCGAGCAGAGTAAGGCTTGGGTTCTCCCTTTTTGAATTCGGCAATAGCATCCTGAATTGGCTGGTCCCAGTGGATAGCATTTCCCTCGTTGGCCGAGTAGATAGTCTTTCCTCCGTCCTGTGGGAAGATCATCTTTTCTCTGGTGTGGACAAATTCTCCAATGGTGGAATCCAGGCAGAAACCATGGACATCTCCACCCTTGAATGTGAAGACCATCTCCACGGCAGAACTGTAGGCCACATATCCAGCGCAGACGCAGTCAGCTCCAGAACGGAGAAGATCATCGGCATTTCCGTCACTGCCAGGTTTTCGTTCGTAGACACTGAAGATGGTTCCAACACTAACATTACAATCAATGTTACTGGATCCATCCAAAGGATCGAATGCAACGCCTGTACACAGTAAAATAAATCTGGTGAGAAAATTGGCCCATAATATGTCTGGATAAGCAAGTCTTCCAATAAACCCAATAGTAACTCACAGAATTTTCCGGCCCTTCCGGGAGGTACAATGATTGGTTCTTCGTTTTCCTCGGAAACAAGGACACAGCAGACTCCAGAGTTGACCAATGCATTGATCATCATATCATTCGACATAACATCAAGTTTCTTTTGGTCGTCTCCAGTGCTGTTGACCTCTCCCGCCAAACCATAAAGCTTGGCAACACCGGCACGCTGCACAGCAGACGTGATCAGTTTGCATGAAGTTCCGATGGCATTCATCAAAATGACCAAATCGTGGTCATGGGTGCTTGCCATGACAAACCTGTTCAAGGTTTTGGCGTCCTAGAAAGGATAAAGCACAGAGAAATCCTGAGAAGCAGTTTCTATAAATTACCATCCCAGAGCCGAACTCCAAACAAAGACAGATAACTTACGACGTCGAACTTGTCCGCCATTGTTGCTTCTTTCTATTACACGAAGGATACAAGTACTGCTTTTGTTCCGCAGCTAAAAGTGAGAATCCCAATGCAAAAGCCTTGTGTATGTAGAATACTTTCTCGTTTTGGGTAAACGTACGAGCATCCAACGTGGTATTTTGTACGTGTGTCTTTGGCCAATGACTGACGTGTTGGTTTCCCCAAAACTTTGGATCATTCGTGCAAATCGAATCGAAGCTAGCAATCTTGATCGAATTCGATTCGATTCGATTCATCATTTCGAACTCGATAGCTATTTTTAAGCCAGCAACGCAAAGTAAAGTTTGCCAAGGCTTGTCATCAATACTGTACATGTATCTAGCACAAAGTTGATGCAAGCTGGAACTGCAAAATGTGCCCAATAGACAAGAAAACTGGCAGTCCTTGTAATGAATGGATACCATTGAATTTGGAAATCCTGGGTATCCTCATCAGCAGGGACATGTGCAGTTGAAACAAGGTACCGGTTCTGCTTTCTCCCAAGTATATCTGTGCAGCGAGCGTTGGCTACCTCCTTGCTACCGGTATTTTGTTGGTTGTTGAACGAAAAGGAGTGACAGTCGAAGGTCTGTTTCTACTAGTAGCAAGTTTCCGGAATTACCTCCAGCCAGGATCTACTGTTAGCTAGCTAGAATTCATCGCAAGGAGCACCATATTTATGGTCTTCTGTGGTCAAGCTAGGATTGGTCCAATGTGCCAGCCTTGCTTCCTCTCGACCAAAAGCAGACATCATGGATAACCACAAATCTGCTCTGGGTCGTGACTCTCCCTCCTCCTCTTCAGCCAGATCATGATGTTCACAAGCTCCCGAAACAACGATTTCCGGCGGTCCACGGCAGAGGAACCAACATCCCTCTGCCACTTCCCTTTCCAACTGGCCTTGATACCAACAGCTTGCTCCCACAAAGAAGGTTACATCATCTTTGGAAGCAAAAGCAGATTAGAAGGATGGTGAGGAATCAAATCGAATCAAGTCAGCAATCCAATTAACAACCAACAAAATTTGTTGTTTTGTTGAGTGAGCTTGTACGCACGACCATTATTTTTTAAATTCACTCACCTCGATCAAGTGTACCCGACGCCACGGCCTCTGCCGCATTTGTGATATTCCCCTTGTACGCGACAACTTTTTCGTCTTCCAACCCAGTGACATTTGGCAATTGGATTCCACCAACGTCGCCGTCTTTTTCCGTGTCGTTACTGTCGTCGTTGCTGCTGCCAATAGTATGAGCCATTTGAATGGTGGGCATGTGAACGGGTCCCCCATCTTTCATGGGGATCGTACCGAGAGAAGCGAGAATATCTTTTGGGAGATGAGGCAGTGCTTCGGCCAAGTTTAATGGCTGCAAATTGCTGCCGCTGCTATTGCTGGGATCCTTGAGTGTGACTCGATTGACAATTAATCCGTAAGTTCCTTCCAAAGTGACTTGTTGCTTGTCTTTGTCAGTATTATCATCCTCCTCATTAGTGTTTTTGTTGTGGTTGTCATTGCCGTGATGTTGCAGTATACAACTAACGGTTTTTCGAAAGAATCCCGTCATGTGAGGATGTGCCACGAGAAAGACACCCGGTTTCAAGAGAGAAGCAATATCGGTAGCGTCGTTCCAAATCAGAGGTTCGACATGTTTGGCCGCCTGTTTGTTGTGACTGGGCTCGTCTCGTTGCTGCTCCTCTTGTAGTTCCTTTGCCCACGCCAATTTTTCATTGAGTTTTCGGAGTGCCAAAAAGGCCGTTTCTCGTCGCACATCCATGGCAAAGGCAGCGGAACAAGACGACGACGACGCTTCCATGTCGGGCGTTCGGAATTCTCTTCGAATCATATCTCTCAATTTGGTGGGTTGTCGATGGACGTGATGAGGATGAAAGTAACACGGAGCAAATGGTGGACTGTCATCATTGCGGGTCACCCCGTCATGATGAAACTTGTACGTGTCCGAGTCCGAAAAGACCGTCCAAAGTAACCTCCGAAACAGCAGAAAATGGGCATCAAACCGTTGTGGCAAGGCATCCTCATCATCTTCTTCTTCTTCCATCAAATCTAAATCATAGTTGCTGGATCGCAGTTGTTGTTGACTATCACGTCGTCGATACTTGAGCGCCAGTTCTTCGTCCAAATCCACGGGAATAAACGATCGATGTAATAGACACGACAGAACGGCCGCATTCGGAGATGGTGGCGTAAACGGCTTGACGGCTCGTAGCAGGGCACGGTACAGTCGACGGTGGATTACTGCGTGTTTGCTGGAGGTTGCCATGGTCGACGTATTGTGTCGATGTTGTGGTTCTGTTTGGTTGTGATGATGGGATTTGACCAGAACACCGTTTTCGAAAGATCCAAACGTTTTGCCAAAAATGAAAAAGTAAAGTATTTCGTCTCCTGGAGACGATTTGCTTTAGGGGTAATGGTACCGATGGGGGCAGAGGTTTGAATTATACCCGGCGCGCATTACTTAGAAGGCCCTGTAGAAGTCTACGTATTCGACTAGTATTGTATTGACGGGATACAGTCAACGCATGTACATGCACATGAAAGTCGCCTTGCGTTCTTCACATTTTAAAAGTTGCTCCTAATTTTTCGGGGTCGCCTGATTTGATTGGACGCTTGATCTTTTTTCAATGACTGACATTGAATACGTACGAGGTGCAATGCGATTCTCAGAAAGGTAGTTGTAGTAATAAAAGTTTTTATATATAGATTAATTTACCCTATATCCCTACGTTTATACTTATAACAAGAAACCGTCTTCTCGCTGAAACATTTCATCGTATTGATCTTCTCCTAGGACAGAAAGCCAATAGTATCCTTAAATCTGCAAGCATGTCTCTCATTCGTTGTGGCATGGCAAAGTTCTTTGGATCTCAATCCAGCTTCTTCAATAAGAACAAACCACTCATGGTTCGCACCCTTGATAACACCACGTAAGCCCAGTTTTGACAGTATCGCCATGAATGTACCAATAACCACACTGCAGTATATCCTGTAATTTGTGTCCAGTTGTCGCAGAATTGCTGATAATCGGAACTGCTTTACCCTTCATTTTGGTGTGTACAACTTCTACGTCATAAAAACATCTGGTACTGAAAGTGTATCTTGCTCCGTTAATAAAAAGATACGTGGCATAATAGTCTACATTTCATGTTCCAACAGGATAGATTTGACTTGAACTGAGAAAAAAGGCCGAATCTTGCAGCCGTTGTCGAGTTGAATAATCATGGGTGGGGTGCAACCATCCCTCACATTCACCTTTCTCACAAAAAGCCGAGATCCAATGGCTTCTCCATTCGGAACATTCGTGTTCTCTGTAAAAATTACAGGACACCCCTATATAACTTCAAAGCAGGATCAACACGTTTTCGTGAGTCCGAACCGGGTTTTAACGAGTCTTCTCCACATGTTGAAAAGAAGTGCTTTAAAACCGAATTGCTCTTAACAGGAACCAGTGTCCCTGCTTGATTGGCCATTTGAAGATCGTCCATGAAAATGAGTACTGCATCCATCAGCACGGAATCATCAGCAGGCTTGTTCTTCCCGCAAAATTCTTCGAAGATAGCTGAGTTAATGGCATCTCGATCTCGATTCAGATAAGTAGCAACTTGAATGTTCTCTGGTGGAACATGGGTTGGCCAACCACGCAGGGTCATTGATGGTCTCAATATCTTCTTCTGTTGGTCGCCCTTCACGAATCTTAAACAGCGTTGCCCCCATTCAGGATCGTCTTTGAAGCGGTGCATTCCATCTAACTCAATAAATGAATTCAGAGAGTCATGAAATTCAGGAATGGTGTGCTGAAGATTGTAAATTGGGGGCGTCCCACTGGTTAAAGTTGAGAGTAGTCCCCCCGAACACCAAGTTAAGTCCCCAAATGGTTGGTATTCGTCTTGCATCAAGGTCTTGTGTAGTGGAATATCTTCACTAAGTCAAGTTCCCCCGCGAATGAAATTTCGTCGATGATAAGATCCGTGCGTCACTCCATTCTTCTACCCAAGTTCTCGCCACACTTTCCCGAGTTCTGTTCAATCCCACAGCTGAATGCGTTGTTTCCCCAGCAGTATTGTAGCAGAACCCACGACATAGCAGTGATCAACAATGGTTCGGCGTTAATGGATGATCAATCAAAATGCCAGAATTCTTTGCCATAGGTCATGACTAAGTCAATTATGGTAGTTTTCCCACTCCTCCAGGCCCATGTTGAAGAAGAATCATGTTGGGTGCCACGACTTCCCTTCAAAACAAAAGGTTTTTACGAGAAGTCGGACTTTTGCCTTCAACCCCATATCCGGGACTCCAGCCTCTAAGTCCACCTTTTAGCTTCTCATAAAATGTCAAAAAGAAGGCTGCAATGATACACTCGAAGCCCTTCTCTGTTTTGTCGTTCAGATTGGCAGCGGTTGCACCAGTCACTTATACTTCTCAAGCTTCCATTCGCCTGCGAACTTCAACCTGAGGATTGTACTTAAATACATTTGCCCTTTGGATGCACTCCGGTTTGTTAAGTAGAACTTCAATGATCTGTTGATATCGAGGTGTAGGCGGTTTCACTTTGCTTCTCGTTGTAGTGCCAGTCGTGTGAAAGTCAGCACTTATGGTAACAAAATCGTCTTCATCTAACGAATTCTCAGGAATGGGTAACTGCACGTGGTATCCTGCGTTGTCGCTCCCATTGTGACGTATAGCCGTAAAACTAAGAACATCAAATGTGCTTGCCAGAAAGTCCCGGTTTGAATCTTGTGTGCCCTGGCTCTCAAGATCACGTATGCAATCTTCGTAAACCTTTGAATCAGATCATCTTCCTCATGTTCGTGCTCATGTTCGTGCTCATCATCATATTCTTTTTCGTACATGTTCTCCTCTCAATTTTCCGGTCTATAGTGCTTTGTAACTCGTTGAAGATCATCCTCTTTCACCTTATACCTCGGTTTGTTGAAAGCGGTGTCTAGAATGTTCTGGATGAATGACAGGTTCCTTTCTGAGAAGACGACTGTTTCTTCGTTATTCGCTTTCTCAGAACATCGTATTCATACTCTTCACGAAGTCTTTCAGCGAAAGCATAGTTGGTCTGGGGTACGGACTTTTTTAAATCAGCCAAACATCGATGCGGGAAGTACAAACCCAATAGCAATTCCGCATAAGTATCCA